GTTTTGTCATTTGAATTTTTTTTTCTGTGCTGGTTTGTGCTCACTTGCTGCTCATCCAATGCTGCCATCCAATGGGCCTGGGGGCCCCCCTGCTACCATTTGAACTATTTACCATGGCGTCCGGTCAGAGTGGAAACATAACCACCCTCTGCTGCTCCAATACATTAAATCTTATGCCCCGCATATCTTATTGTTACAGGAGACGCATTTAGTGGGCAGCAAGCTTGTGGCCCTTAAGAAACCTTGGGTTCAGACAGATCCACTCAATCAGGGGCTGACTCCTCTGACTCTAATTTTGACTTGCTTATGCCAAATGTGACCTACACCTGCACCTGACACAGGGCTCGACATGTACACCTCCAAACAAAAATATTTTGAACAAGCTGACAAGAATGGTAGGTTGCTGGCTATGCTATCCCAGCATGATGTCCCCCTTACCGTCATCTCTGAGCTTACCACTCCCACAGCTGAAACCATCACCGATGCAGAGGGCATTCTCAGGGAATTTCATGTTTATTGTCAAAATCTTTACACATCCACTCTAGCATTCTGGCTTACCTCGGTGGATCTCTCCTCTCTTCTGGATCCTATTGCCCTTCTTGGCTTTCAGATGAGGAGAGATCCCACCTGGAACACCGCATTACCTCGGAGGAGGTTCTATCCATGATCCAGTCCTTATCTTCTGATAAGGCCCCTGGCCCTGATTGTCTGCCCATAGAATTTTATAAAAAACATGGCGAAATGCTTGCCCCCCTTCTGGCTTCTTGATACACACACTGTCTTCACATTGGTACCTTCCGTCATTCCATGTTGGACATGCATGTGGTTCTAATATACAAACCTCATAAGGATCCCAAATCCTCCACCTCCTACAGAGCGATAGCTCTCCTCAATAATAACCTAAAAATACCGACAAAACTAACCAACAAGCTTAATCCCCTCTTACCCTTGATGATTGACTCAGACCAAACTGGGATCATGGCACATAAATCCACTGACGTTATCTCACGTAGACTGTTCACAAGCCTTCATGCCCAGCATACTAATCAGGGTTCTAAAGTGATTGCCTCGCTCGATATTGAGAAGGCGTCTGACACTGTAGAGTGGCACTATTTATGGGAGATTCTTAGGAGGTTGGGGTTTCCTCTGGTTTTCATCAAATGGCTACAGACAATATACCATTCCCTAACTGCTGCCATTTGCTTGGGAGGTCTCCTCTCTTCTGCATTTACCCTGTCCAGGGGTACCAGACAGGGCTGCCCTCTCTCCCCAGCACTTTTTGCTATTGCCATGGAGCCACTGGCTGAAACGCTCTGAGTGTCCCCACTTATTAAAGGCCTGAGGTTGGCTAGACTGGAGGAGAGGGTCGCCCTATATACTGATGATCTTTTGCTGTTTCTTAATGATCCTGGTCCATCTCTGCAGGATGTGCTGCATGTTTTAAAATCTTTACCAGTTGTGACAGCGCTTACAGTGAAGCGGTCTAAATCTCAACTCTTCGCCATTGATCCTGGGGCCAGACAGAGTGCACCATCAGATCTGCAACTGCAATGGCTGGGGGAGTTCAAATATCTGGGGGTGGTGGTTTCTAGGGAGGTGAATGATTATATACTCTTGAGCTTGGCTCCAGTGGTCCACTCTGTCAAGGCTAAACTGAAAGCATGGGAAAATCTTCCCTTGTCCCTCCTGGGTTGCAATAATCTCATTAAAATGAAAATCTTTCCCAAATTAAATTACTTATTTAGTGATTCCCCTCAGTAGATTCCCAAGTCTTTTTTCACCCACCAAAACAGATTATTCTCCTCCTTCCTTTGGGGTCCCCGATCCCCCAGGTACAAATTATCCACTCTAATGCGCCTTACCTCCCAAGGAAGTCTGGCCCTTCCAGGTTGTCACAAATATTTTCTTGCCTCTCAACTGGTCTCTGCCTCTTGGTGGTTGACACCAGATATGTCTAACTCTGCTTCAAAATTGGAGGCTACAGTGGTGTTGCGCTATGGAGGCCCTCCAATTTTTATTGTTTTGAGGCCCTAGAGCTCCTTATGAGCTGGCCCAGTAATTAGACAATGCGGGAAGTCTAAATCAAAAACATATGTGTTTTTGATTTAGATATGCCTTAAAAAATAGGTAAACCCAAAGTTTCATGTTCCTGATATGTGCCTGCTATACCATGTCCTTGTATGAAAAAGTATCCTGTTCTCTTTGTATTGCTTCCTTTGTGTGAAATCCCTGGTGTTCCTGCTAGTTCCTATGTTTTCCTAATAAAAACTGACCACACTAGGTAGGAGAGCACAATGTGGTCAGTTTTCTAGCTGGGCTGGAAACTCAGCCTGATCTCCTCCAATGATCAGATTTCCCGCATAGTCTATTACTGGGAAGATCAGTGTGCTGCTGTTTCTCCACCCTCAGCTCTTATACACACACACGTTTTACTTATCATTTCTATTTGAAACAGAATGGGTTGTTTTACAAAGTGAGCATTTACAATCACATAATGTAAATCATGATATCTATATTTCTTTCGGCTACGCAAACCATAAAGAAAGAAGTTACAAATGAGTCACTGATCTATTCTGGAAGGTCCTAAACTTGACTTGGTAGCCACTTGTACAGCAGAGCTCAGATTGGGAGAAAGAGAAGCAGCATAAAGGGCCACTGAGTTGAGCTACTGCACTCATATAGTAAAAGAGACATCATGCTGCTAGGAGAGAGAGGAGAGACAGAAAGCTAAACTCTTCAGTCTGCTAATTCTCCTTTCATTTTTTCTTTTTTTTTTTGCTCTACTAATTCTCCAGTGGCAGGCCAGGGGAGGGACTCGACCTTTAAATGTTACCTAAAGTGTCACTAAACCCACATCATAAAAAACTATCAATAAATGCTGTATTACATGCTGTTCATACTCACTCACTATGAGATTCATTTTCTGTATTCTGCAAAAAAACTGGTTGATCCTGATGTTTTCTCTGTTCACCTTCTGTTCATGACCCCAATTCAGCTAGGGATTTTGCACAGCAAGGTGGCAACTCTGCACATGCTCCATTTTCAGTGAGTTTCTATTCTGGGCATTTCCTCCCTATAACATCTGAGCATTCCATGTGATTATAGAGTCACACACGTGGGCATATACACAGTGGTAAATGACAGCTCATTCCTTCTCTCCTCCATGCTCACTAACCAGCTAAACACAATGGAGCAGGATATTACATGTAGATTGATGGAAGCTTCACCTCCCTGGTATTCTAAGGCACAGGCTGGAAGGGCATGACACAGCCTGCGACTGGCAGAAATCCACCCATACTATGTTATTTCCACAAAATAATAAAGATTTGATTTCAAATATATATTTGTATGACAAATTAAAACAGTTTATGGATATTAATTATTTATTTTTTTACTTTGTATCTCAACAAAAAAAGACTGTTTTTTTTATTTTGAACATTTATTTTGAACATGTAATCAGCAGAAGAGGACTAGAAATTCCTCCTGCTTATGTCATGTAAAATAATTACAGTGCCATCATCCATATACATAAATAGAAGGGACAATGGAAATTAAAAAGTGTGTGTTTAGTATCACTTTAACTGTAACAAAGGAAAATTAGGTCTCCTGCCCTATCAGACAAGGCTGTTCTGTGTGGTAGAGCACTGTAAATCTCAGGACTGGATGGACAGAAATCAAAACACTTTGGCAAGTAAAATGGCACCTATAAATTATTATACAGGATTATGAGTTCTATCGCTGCACTTAGTCTGCATGTCAGTTTTTTTATGACAGATATGTATGATATCCAGGGCCTTTTTCCACTGGGAACACATTTCTGGCACCTCCAGCACTGAATGTATATAGTGGCAAGGGGTGCTTGGGTGTGCTGGAGGGGCTATTGATGCTGACTCCAGAGGGAACTGTTGTTGCTGAGGGGAAGGTCTATTGTTACAGGGGAGTAGTCTAATGTTGCTGGCTGCAGGATGGTCTATTGATGCTTGCTGCTGGTGGGTCTATTGTTGCTGGGGGGGGTCTATTGTTGCTGGATGATATTTGGGGGTGGGAGGAGGCAGATATATGGGTGATTTGGAGTTGTGGGGGAAAGTACCTGCTTCTATTCTCTGAGAGAAAAAAACACTAATAGCAATAATTCTGATGTCTTCATGACAGCTGAATACAGTATGAGTTGAGGTCTAGACATGAACAAGTTACTCTGCTGTAGATCATATTTAACCTAAAGCTGGCTGTTTCTGTGGAACTCACCCAAGGGGTTTATGTAGTTGTCATACAACTATTCCTTTTTCCTGATGCAGTTTTCTACCTGAATCATTGAGAAATAATTAAAAAAGTTGGGAACCCTAGCTAAGAGAAAAATGGAGGCTGTCAATGCTATTCTGTCGTTTGACTGTCATGCTGATCTGAACCATATGAACAAACACGAAGATATGAAGTTCTAATCTCAGCAGCTCTATACATGTTTCAAATCAGTCAAAAAGTACAAAACTATGAGAATCAGTGTTGCAAATAGCATTTTAAAAGGAGGGCATTAATGAAAGCCAACAACTAAAATTCAGTGGGGAAAGCTAAGCAATACCCCAAAGTTTACAATTACCACTTTGTATGGTCACTGCAGGGTCATAGGTTGTACTGCAATATAGGCATTAAAGGAGGGAAGTCAATGAATATAACAAGTGTTGAACAAATATGGTAAACTGGAGTTTTTAACTAGCAGGCTGTAGTAAGAAGTTTGCTGAATGGATTCAGGTATCACATGAGTCCTAGGACAGTTCTATGCACTTCAGCTTTACATCACTTATTTTTATATAATTACACAATTGATAGAATAATTTCTGCATTGTATTAATTTAGGCATCTTGCTTAATTTACATTGTATCATGGTTCTATGATCATGATTAAAAATTAACACATGCATTTTGATCAGATCTAAGACATCAGATCCATCTATTTATAAAACATGTTATTAGCCAAGATGCTGTTTTGTTTTTTGTAAAACATACCTGTCTTCTAACGTGCACATTTCCTTCCACTGGCATGTTGTATGCACTCCGAATCAGATTTCGAGCGATAAAATAGTAATATACTGAAATAATGGACAGAGGAATGATATAGAAGATTAAAAAGGAAGTCATCGAATGAATTCTTGGATGCAGTCCATTGGAATGTGGGTAGGGGGCACAGCTGACAAACGTTTGGTTGGTTTCTTTGTCATAAAATGGGTGCAAATCTGAGAAAACAGCTTCTGGAATGGCCAAAGTCATGGATAATATCCAGATAAGTGCAGCTTTGATGCAGATCTTAGTCAAAGCATTATTGGCTTGGATATCCATGGGTTTTACAATAGCTGTGTACCTAAGAAAAGAAAAAAAAATTAAATTAATAGCAGAAAAAGGCTTTTTAGGGAACATATATACAGAGGTTGGACAAAAAAATGGATACACTACATGATTTTCAGGTGTGAAAGTGACAATATTTTACATTGAAAGCGGATGTGAACACTTTTGCTTCCGCTGTGTAATGAGACACCTAGCTAACATTTGGGAAGACACCTAGCTAACAGAAGCTTCACTTTCGTCATTCACTACGTGCACTGCTAGTAATACGGAGTCATGTCAGAGCTTACTGAGATTCAAAGAGGGCAAATTGTTGGTGCCGCTTAGCTGGTGCCTCTATGACTGAAGTTGCTAATTTATTTGTGGTGTTGCGCGGTCCAGTATTAAAGGTTATGATGGCATATACAGCTTCTGGGGAAACGTCATCTAATAAGCATAAGTGCAGTTGACATGGTCATCTGACCAAAAGAGACAAAAGGAATAAGAAAGCAACTGCTGCAAAAGTGACTGCAGAGCTAAATCTCAGTCATAATGGGATTGGTGTGATCTGGCGTGGGGGGCGGAGGTCCTCTTTTTAGAAAACAAAGACACAGCAGGAGAGATCACTGTACTACTGTCACTTGGGATGATTTAAAAAAAAATGAATGTTTGTACCAGGCTTTAGAGAGGCATGATGGAAGAAAGATAATTATGCCAATGCCATATTATATTTACAGGTACTTACATAGCACCATCGATTTATGCAGCTCTTTACACATATAGATAGTACATTCACGTCAGTCCCTAAACCGCAAGGAGCGTACAATCTTAGGTCCCTAACTCCCATTCAAACATACACATACTAGGGCCAATTTAGAAAGGAGCCAATTAACTTACCAGCATGTCTTTGGTGGGCACCAAAGGGAGAACATGCAAACTCCAGGCAGGTAGTGCCATGGTTCTGATTCAAACTGATGCCCCTAGTGCTGCTAGGTGGAAGTGCTAGCCACTGTGCTGCCCATATACATATATATACATTATATACAGTGCTCAGCATAAATGAGCACACCCCTTTTGAAAAGTAAGATTTTAATCAATATCTCAATGAAAACAAGAACAATTTCCAAAATTTTTACAAAAACAGACCATTTGTTTAGCTCATTACATGAATGTATGGTTAATAATATAACTTAGATTACAAAATCTTCAGTTTTACTCAAATTAGTTGATGCAAAAATGAATACACCCCACAACAAAAACTACTACATGTGTTTGAATGGGTTCATATTAGGAGACATACTTGGCCACTGAATCACTTTCACCCTGTTCTTCTTCAGTGGCCTTAGATGTGCGTTTTGGATAATTGTCATGTTGTCATGTTGTCATGTTGGAAAAGTGCAAAACGACGAAGTACACGGAGTGATGGCAGCATCTTATCTTTCAATATAGAGCAGTACATCTGTGAATTCATGATACTATCAATGAAATGCAGCTCCCTGACACCAGCAGCACTCATGCAGCCCCACTGAAGGACACTGCCACCACCATGTTTTACTGTAGGCACCATGCATTTTTCTTTGTACTCCTCAACTTTGCGTTGCCATACAGTTTTGAAGCCATCAGTTCCAAAAACATTTATCTTGGTCTCATCATTCCAGAGTATAGGTCCCAGTAGCCTCCTTCTTTTTCAGAATGGGCCCTGGCAAATTCTAGGAGAGCTTTTTTTGGACATGGGCTTTAGGAGAGGCTTCTTTCGTGGATGACACCCATGCATGCCATTCCTCTGCATTGTACGCCGTATTGTGTCACAGGAAACCATCACCCCAGTTTGGCTTTCTACTTCTTTAGCTAACTGCAGTGAACTTGCATGGCAATTTTCTTAAACCTTCTCATCAGAAGACGCTCCTGTTGAGGTGTTAACTTCAATAGACAGCCTTTGAGCTGGTTTCAGCTCCATCTTTGTTACATTCTTGTATCACTTTTGCTACAGTATTCTGACTGATAAGTAAAGCTTTGCTGATCTTCTTGTAGCCTTCACCTTTCTTGTGTAAAGAAATTAATTTCTTTCTTCGGCCTTGTGACATTTCTCTTCCATGTGGTGCCATTGCTGACAGCATGAAATGGAAGGGGTTTTCTTTGTTAAGCAATGCTCTTTTGCAATCGACTGTCTGCTGGACACCTGTTTAAAGAATAATTAGACTCACCTGTAGTTGAATTTTTGTTAATTAGGATTTTGTTGTCTAAAATTTAGCTTTGCTCCCAAGACTTTCATTGGGGTGTATTCATTTTTTGCAACGGTGCAATGGTCTTGCATGAATTTGTTAGGAAAAATACTTTTTTGTGTGTGCAAATTAACAAATCTTGTTTGCAATCAATGGCCCACATTTGCGGGAGTATTTTGTAGTATAGTGTCCCATAAAATAAAATGTTGATTCTGAAAGGAAAATAAAGGTTTCCTGACAATCTGTTGGGGTGTACTAATTTATGCTGAGCACTGTATATATATATATATATATATATATATATATATATATACACACACACACACGCACATTATCTTATAATAAAGAACTGCATTTCCTTAGATAAATGATGTGGAATGTTGACGCACCACCCATCAGTCTAATAAATGGGCTCCACCCAGGTTCCCTCATACAAATCAAAGAATGAGTAGGAAGGGTATCTGCAAGTCAGCTTTTAGAGTATTCTAAAGCATGTGAAAGGGATCCAAAGGACCTCTTTACCAGTGCACTTCACAGCCCAGCAAACCCTGAATGTCTGATCATGCAAAAAAAAACAAAACGTTCTAAAACAATAATTTTTCCAGTTTGAATTTTGAGAACTGGAGCCAATTTATTTAACAAGCAGAAATGTAATATTATATGAATTTTATCTGTGTCCGGAAAAGTTCTCGTTAATAACCTTCCTGTTTGAAAAGTCAAGATAATGTTGAACTTACAGCATCTCTTTTTATTCTTTACAGGTACACAAAATACTTTTATTATTAACAAATATTGCGAAACTTATGGTGAATGTTTAAAGCAATGTTATGAGCAATTTCTTTTCTACAGTACAAAGGATTAATGTACCATAATTTCATTTTAACCAGACCGATGAAACTACCATCTAAAAATTATTTAGATGCTGTTGTTCCTCATGCTAAAACTGATTTATTAGAACATTCTAAAATTTGTTTTGATGCATTATTGTTGGATTATCCCATTGCTATCCTGCTTATTATTACGATTTATTTTTCCATTAAGCAGAAAATTAGAAACCAATAACCAGCAGCATGTTTTATTACAGTCACAGGAGATGCCATTAGGATACACATTTTGGACATTTCATAGGCTTCATTTTGTCCATTGTTTGTTTTCTCTCATAGCTAAACAAAGATCACAACAGTAATAGCTGAAATGAAATTGAACCTTCTACTGGAGAAGAAGGAAGGAAATTAGTTTAGAGACATGAAAAGAAAAATAGTAGTTGTCCTTTTGTATTAAAGTGTATCTGAACATAAAATCAAAATGTAATCTATTGCAGATTACTATTCCTTGGTGTGGTGTCTGCATTAGTTTTGTTTAAGCTTTTTTGCTTCATATTTATCTGTAAACCTGCAGCTAACACACTTTGGGGTTAATCCACTAAAATTTGAGAGTGCACAATCTGGTGCAGCTCTGTAGAGAAACCAATCAGCTTCCAAGTTTTATTGTCAAAGCCTATTTGAACAAGCTGAAGTTAGAAGCTGATTGGCTACCATGCACACCTGCAACAGATGTTTCACTCTCCAGTTTTAGTAAATCAACCCCTTTCTATCCCTTGGTGGCTACATCACTCCTCCACTGTATCTCTGGAAGGATTCATAGTGGTTCCCTAGGCCAGTGTTTCTCAACCTTTTTTCAGTCAAATCACCCTTTTAAATTATACATTCCCGAGGCCCCCTTTAAAATTATGGACAGTATTAAGGCACCCCATTTTGGAGACTGCTCATAATTTTAAAAGGGTGCCCTATTCTAAAATGTGAGAAACTATTCTAATAGCTTTATATAACGCAGCAACATCCACTCATGTAGGACACCCAACATTAGAGGTGATTTATTCTTCCAAAGCAAATACACTTTTGCACACTTGTACTGACTAGTATTCCATTGTTTATATTCTCCCTCAGTTTTTCTCCATCACTGAGCTAATGTGACCCCAGCAGTGATGGCGAGGGGCAGGGGAGGGTCAAACTAGGATGCTGCGCAGGCAGCTGACATCCTCCTTATCAGCTAATGATGTCATTGGTTGTCAAGACGCCGGTGGGTAGAAGCTTGTAATGGTGTACATTGACAATATGTGGCATTGTGTAACTAAAAGGTAGGCTTGTTCCACCTGCTGGCTTGTATACAAGTTTTGGCCAATTTTTAGATATTTTGCCAAGGCACCCCTGAAGAATCCTCAAGGCATTCCAGGGTGCCTGGGCACCCTGGTTGAGAAAGTCTGCCCTAGGCTTCTCTTCTGATGTGGACTACAAACATGCCCTTTTCTCTTCATTTACATTATACTGGGGCAGGGTACTTTACAAAAGATAGCTAGGAAGAAAGATATTCTTGGTGCAACTCACAGCAAGTGACAAGAACAGGTCATTTCTGACAAGATCAACAGGTATTTTCAATATTTACTGAACATTTTCTTAGCTTGAAAGCAAGAAACAAAATGCAGCCACTACAGGTAAATGACATAGGCTGCAGTATATTACATTTTTTGTCTTTTGGTTTAGTTTTTATCCATAAGAAGTAAAGAGGCGTTCACCGGTCTTGCAGAGGAGATGGATCAAAGCAGCAGTATTTTATTGTCACTGATTTGATGGAGCTCAGTCCATCCTTCTTGGGAAAGATGCACTGAGCTCTATCGAAATGTTGTCAATAAAATGCTGCTGCTTTGATCTATCTCCTTTGCAAGACCGGTGAACGCCTCTATACTTCGAATGGATAAACCTAATCCCAAGGACAAAAATGTAATATATTGCAGCGTAC